GCTAGCTAGCTAGCTAGCTAGCTAGCTAGCTAGGTGGTCAGCTAGCTAGCTAGCTGGCTAGCTGGCTAGCCACTCACCACTGGGGCCTCCGCCGCTTGCGGCGTGAGCTGTAGTTGTGTGCGGACTGCATGCAGAGACACTTTTGCCTGTTTGACTCATTGCAACATTTGCTAGTTAGTGAAAGTGTTTAGGGTTTAGGGTTTAGGGTTTAGGGTTTAGGGTTTAGGGTCTGGGGTGGACAACGTCTTAGGCTAGGGTTTAGGGTTTAGGGTTTACAACTGAGGGCCTAGGGTTTAGGGTTTACGCGGGTAGGGTTGAGGGTTTATGAGGTCCTCAACTCCCCTTGTAATTAGGGTTTAGGGTTTAGGGTTTAGGGTTTAGGGTTTACAGCAACTCCAAGGCGCAGTAGCAGCCGTATAAACATAATGATAAGACCCAGCAACAACAGTAGTAAGAATAGTAATAATAAATAAATAAATAAATAAATAAATAAATAAATAAATTAAATAAATAAATAAATAAATTAAATAAATAAATAAATAAATAATGGTGAATGATAGAAGCAATAAATAATAATTATTAAATAATAAATAAAATAAATAAATAAAATAATAATAGTAAATAATAGCAGCAATAAATAAAAACTATTATTATAGAAAAAAAAATAAATATATATAATTTATATATAAATTTATTTATATAAATATAAATATATATAATATTGGGGTGATAGCCATAATAACAATATTTATTATTATTTTTATTATTATTTCTCTTACTGTTATTGTTGTTATTATATATTCTTATTATTTTATATTGTTGTTGTTTATTAGTATTATTATTATCTATTATTATTATATTCTAAATAATAATGACTATTATATATATATATATATATATATATATATATATGTATATATATATATATGTATATATATANATATATATATATATATATATATATATATATATATATATATATATATATATATATATATATATAATGTATAATTATTATTATTACTGTTATATTATTAATACCTGTCTCAATTCGTAATTATAATTACTAGAAAAAGTAATAAATAAATATAAATAAAATAATAATTATAATAAATATAAATAAAATAATAATAATAATAAATATAAATAAAATAATAATATTTTGGTTGTTTGTTTCGTTGGGGGTATTGATACCTAACAAAAGCAAAGACAAACGGGGGCTGCCTATACACCCCAACAGTTGCAGTTCTATAAAGTCACATTCACGTGTCGCTGCAGCACCACGACTTGCTGCTGCTGCTGTTCCTGCTGCTGCTGCTGCTGCTGCAGCAGGAGGAAAAGCAGCAGCAGCAGCAGCAACCCCCGCAGCAGCTTCAGCAGCTGCTGCAGCTACTGGGGGGGCTGCATTGGAAGCCGGATGCGAAATTTCGGGGGCGCAGCAGGAGCAGCTGGCTGCTGCTGCTGCTGCTGCTGCGGCAGCAGCTGCTGCTGCTGCTGCTGCATGTCGAACGATGGCGGGTGCATTGGCTGTCCGTAGACGGGGTGCTGCTGCTGCAGCAGCTGCTGCTGCTGCAGTGGCTGCTGCTGCTGCTGCTGCTGCAGGTCATACGGCCTACTCGTGCCATAGAAAGGCTGCGTATGCTGGAGGTGCACCTGATCGTGGTTCTGTGCTGCATGCTGCTGCTGCAGTTGCTGCTGCTGCAGCTGCTGCTGCTGCTGCTGCTGCTGCTGCTGCTGCATGCCAAAAGAAAGACGAATTCGAAGCGGCTTCATCCCGGGGGGCCTCTGGGTGGTTCCCTCTCCCATCTGCTGCGGCGCTGTATGATGGTGCATCAGCTGCTGCTGCTGCAGTTGCTGCTGCTGTTGCTGCTGCTGCAGCAGGTGCTGCTGCTGCTGCTCTTGCGGGTGCAGCGAGCTCTCTCTTGTCTTCTTTTTTGGCTTCGATGATTTCCCTTTTTTGTCGCGGCGCAGAGATCTCTGAGAGACGCCATCAAGTGGAGCAGCAGCAGCAAACGGCTGCTGCTGCAGCTGCTGCAGCTGCTGCTGCTGCTGCAGCTGCTGCTGCTGCAGCAAAGATCCATCAAAAGCAGCAGCAGCATCGCTCCCTTGATAAC